TGAGCCAGTCTCACACATCCCAGGCTGGCCTTGAACTAACTATGCAGTCAAGGAAGGATGACCTTGAGCTTCTGATCCTCTTGCCCCTACTTCCCAAGTAATGGGATTACAGGTGTATACCACACCTAGTTTATGCACTCCTGGGGATCAAACCCAGCATGCCAGGTAAGCACTCTACCAACTGAGCTGTATCTCCAATGCTCCCCCATGCCTCTGAGACCACGGTCTCACTCTAGTCCAGGCTATCCTGGAACTATTTGATTCAGGTTGACCTCGAACTCTAATTCTCCTGCCTCAGCCTCCTAAGTGCTGAGATTGCAGGCACAAACCATCATGCCTGGATCCTCTACATTTTGAGGATATCATGCATCAACTTAGCTATCTTTGGAGGGGGCCGGGTGATTGAGTTATGGCTCTGACTCCTCTCTGGGGGTGGAAAGTGAAGATGATAAAGTCGGCCATCTGTCCCCTGGGAGACACATTAGCAGTATAAGATGGGACAGAATAACAAATCCAACTAGAAGGAGGGTTTGAGAAAGGGTAGGGGAAGGAAGTGTGATGGGCAATACACACTTCAGGGAATGAGAAGGTCCCACACTCAAGACCTGCATCTTCTTGAAATTACCGGAATTAAAATTACTTGAAATTACCGGTAGAGATAGTACCTTCTGCTGAAATGAAACTTTGGGGAAAGCTAGACCTAGACATGGGGAAGGAACCTTGCACTCTGACCTGTCCTCCCAGCCCCCACTGCCCTCTCCCCTCACTGAAGGGTTCCAGCCCCAGCAAAGGCAAAAGGTTCTGGACAAGTGCAGCAGTGGTCACACACCTGCACCTAGGCTTGAACACTTCTGGCCATCTCTGGGGTCTTGCATCCAAACATGCTGCGTAGGGTGAAAGTAGGGCAGGTACAAGAAGAGAATGGACAGTAGTGAATGCTTGACAGAGACCCTCTTCATTCTCTGCATAGTCACAAAAGTCTTTTTAGGTCATGCCTCTGAGGTACCAGCCTGCTGACTACTCCCCACTTTACCTCCATGCCAGATTGTCCATTTTTTATGTGTGAATGCCTGCACTCACATCCACAGTATCCTGAAAGCCCTCCAATCCCAGGACCTCCCAGGAAGGAAGAATGCCACAGAGTTCTATGAAGTTATCAGCAAAATCCCGACATTCAGTTCACTCCACAAGGCAAAGTGCGTCCAGAGTAGTTGCTTGAGCTGCATCCACTGTCCAGTCAGGTCCTGAGCATGGCAAACAACCCCCGCCCCAGCAATTCCTATTTTACAGAAACAAGTTATTTTCTAAGATCAAGGCACTTGGGAGAGAGTCAACAATAACACTCTAATGAAGCAAGAGGGCTTACTGGGGGCAGGGAGAGAAGGCAGAAAAATGGGCAAAGGGAGAAAGACAGTGCATTTCTGGGGGCCAGGAAAAGCCTATCCACCAAGATGAAGTTATGTGGATGGAAGGAGCCTGCAGCCTGAATTTAGCAAAAAGAGAATTAGTGGCTACATATCCACAGTTCCCTTGAGCCTCTCAGAACCCGCCACCTTGGAGTCAGGCAGGCTCTCAGGCAAAGATGTTGGTAATAAAATCCAGGAATCTCTTAGCATACTGCTCAGGATGGACAGTAGAGATCTCTGCCCCTGCCTGTGAGGAAATGTAGAACAGTCTGTCAGGAGCAGTATCACCTTCCCCACTCCCCATCCTCCACTCATCCCACCTACTTCCTCCCCTCTGCCACCCTACTGCTCTGACACAGAGGCTCTCTTCCCAGAGAACAGTCAAGCGAAAAAAGGAAAGGCTTTGGGGAACTCTCACCCCATGCTTGACGGTTTTGGCTGCATGAGCTGCTTTCTTCTTGGCATCGTACTGTGTCAGAATATCAATGAGGCCCATGAAATACACCTCCTTTTGGGGGGCCCCTAAGAAGAGAGACTAACGATGAAGAAAGGGTATAGTCCCAATTCTTTCCCGGAACCAGTCTTGTGAAAAGCTAACCAGTCTCTCATCCATCACCCTGGTCTCTGTCCCCCAAGAATATCCATCATTCCCCTCAACATTTTCAGGTTCTCTCATACCCTCAGCACTCCGGATGGCGTAGACATCGATGAAGGACTCAAACTCTCCTGGGCCCAGGGGCCGGTGAGAATGGATGTAGCCTCCAATACCCTCAGGGGAGGTGCCATAGGAGCCCACCAGAGCAGGAGGTCCAGTCAGGTTACAGTCCCCATCCCACTCTGACTCGTCCTCCCGCACAGGCCCCTCTTCCTCTGGTTCAGAGCCCCGGATGATGTCGTGGATGCCCAGCAGAAGGCTGTAGTCCATGATCTTCAGCTGCACTAGAAACTGAGACCCACTGACAAATCAGAAACCTCAGATCTCCACACCACTCCAGGCACCACCCATACTCCTCCACTGTTGAATTTCTGGGGCCCTACTAGGGAAAGGTATAGGACTTTACCACCCTTTAGTGTCCAAGTTCTGGAATGTAAGGGCACCCTCTGACTAATTTCCAGCAGACCCCCACCAGCGCCCCCTCCCCCCAATCTTGCCTACTGGCCTAGGGCTTTTTCCTGTTTTATCCCCATCTCTCCTACATTCAGAGGAGCCAAAAAGTAAAGGGAAGGAGCTCACTTATACAGTGAATGGAAGACAACTTAAAAAAAAAAAAAGGCAAATTTTTTTTTTTAAAGAAACAAAGCATCTCCAACCACCCCAATTATCACCTCCACATCTCTTTTCAGCTTCTCCAGAAATACTTTCTTCTCTTCTTCACCAATATATACTTTCTGGTTCTTGTTGAGGAAGTCCATATCCTTAAGAGTAGGCAATTCTTTAACCTAGAATAGGGGAAAGGATGTCTTGGGAATACACCTCTTTCTCAAAGTCTTGGAGAACCCTGCCTCCATCCAGGGGTCCCTCAATACCACAGTGCCTTTGAGGAGCGAGCAGTCTCACAGCTGCTCTGTGCCCTGGCTCCATTCTGATGCTCAGATTCAGTTTCTCAGCTGTAATCCACACCCTGCCCCACCTACTGCTTCTGCTTATGGACTACAGTCAATGCCCTCTACTCTGACTTTTCTTCAGCAAAAATAGCTACTTGAATACAAGATAGGTAGGGGCCTGGTGTTCCCACCTAACCCCAAACCTTCCACATTGAATAGCCTATGCTAATAACAAAACAGCTGTACCCACTGCTTCTCCCAAGCCATTCCCAGATCAGCAGCAGCTTACTATCTCTTTTCAATGGTTTAAGATAAAAATAAGGAGCGGGCACTCTCTATCTACTACAGAGAACCACTTCTTCATCCTAAGAAGATTCCTTTCATCCACCCCACCCCTCACACTACCACCTAAAACAAGTAGTACCTTTTCCTTATCGCTAGCTTCCCGGGACACCAGGGAGCCCTGTGGAGAGACCCAAGAACCAAGTCAGAAGAAATGGCTACAAAGAACAGCCAGAACCCAGTTTCTCCGATGAGTGCACAAATTTAGAGCCTTCCTTTAACAACAGTCATCCAGTGCCCTCCCAGGCCACCTCCCATTCTCAGGCCTCTCCTTCAGCCCAAGCTATCCTATTCTTACCTTGAGGTCATACTTCCTGTGCACAGGAAGACGGTGGCTAAACATGTTGCGCATCACAAGCATGTAACTGTCTTCATTTTCCACGCTGACTCGGTACATGCCCAGGAACTGGGGCAGAAGCGTGTTGCCGTGGCACTTCACTATGTACTGAAGTAGGAATTGAGAGGAAGGAACAAGGAAAGGCTGAGTCGAAGATGCACACAGCGCCCAGGGATGGGAATCCAAGCACTGTCATTCCAGAGTTGGGAGAAAACCTCAAGTAGAAAGGCCACAATATCACAAAAGGTGACAGCTTCCTAAAACGCCCCAGCCACCTTCAGCTCCTAAAACCCTACTTCTTGATTTCCATACTTGCAGTTTTATCTCTTAATTTTAAAGTATTTTCTCTCATTTCACTTTTATCTTTCCTTTATTTTTTGAGGCTCACATAGCTCAGGCTGTTCTTGAACTCAGTATGTAAAGAATGATCTTGAATTCCTGATCTGCCTGTTTCTACTTCTCAAGTGCTAAGATTACAGGGATGAGCCACTGTGCCTGTCTACCTTTATCATTTTTCTTTTCTTTTTCTTTTTGAGACAGGGTCTCCCTATAGCCCCAGCTGACCTAGAATTCTCTATGTAGACCAGGCTGGCCTCAAACTCAAGAAATCCACTTGCCTCTGCCTCCTGAGTACTGGGATTAAAGGCATGCGCCACCACACTCAGCTCCTTTATCATTTTGTTTTAGGAAGATAGGTGTTATCCTTATTTTAGGCTCTCTCTATGTCTCACAGAATCAGGATTAAACTCTGTGTTTCAATGAAATTATTTTAACTAGACCAATTATTTCTTGGTGGGCCAGATTCCTGTACTATAAATGTCTACAAAGAGGCCTACAGTCAATTTAGATTCTGATTTTTAAAATATTTATATATATTTAAAACTTTGTACTTACGTGTATGTGCCTATGTGAATGCTTTAGGAGGTAAGAGGGCATCGGATGCACAAGAGCTGGAGTTATAGCCAGTGAGCCACAATTCAGGTCCTCTGGAAGGGCAGGAAGCATTCTTAACTGCTGAGCCATCCCTACAGCTCATTTTTGGTTTTTGTTTTGTGGAGTTTTTGGTTTTGTGTTTTTGAGACAGTGTCTCTATGTGTAGTCCTGGCTAACCTCAAACTCACTGACATCTGCCTGCCTCTGCTTCCCAAATACTGCAGGTGCCACCACACATGACTCTTTTGTTTTTTCGAGGCATGGTCAAATGTAGCTCAGGCTGGCCTCAAAGAAAAATGACCTTGAACATGGGATCCTTCTCACTCCACCTCCCAACTGCTGGTTATTTTGGGAATCTGGCTTGCAATTTGGATTGTTTTTGAGACAGGGTCTCATGTAGACTAGGCTGTCCTCAAACTCACTCTGTAACTGAGTATGACTTTGAACTTCTGATCTTCCTGCCTCCACTTCCTGCATGCTGGGATTATGGGCATCTGCCACTATACCTGGCTTATATGGCACTGGGTTTCATGCATGCTAGGGAAGCACTTTACCAGCTGAACTACATTCCCAGCTCATGGTGTGAATTCCTCAACTGGGTATGGTGGTACATGCCTGTAATCCCACTGTTTGGAAGGCTGGAGCAGGAGGGTCATGAGTTCAAGGCTATCCTTAGACCTTGTCTAAAAAAAAAAAAAAAAAAAAAAGTCCTCTCTTAGAACTGGAAGTACAGCTGAGTGGCAAAGTACTCACCTGGCATGTACCAAGCCCCCAGTTTGATCCCATAACTAAAATAAAAAACAGTTCTTGGATTGGGGATGTAGCTCAGTTGGTAGAGTGTTTGTGTGATGGCCTAGACCTGCAATACCAGCATCCAAGAGGCAGCAGCCAGAGGATCAGGGGTTCAGAGTAATCCTTAGCTGTACAGCAAATTCAAAGCTACCCTATATGAGACTACATGAGATTCTGCCCTAAAAAAAAGTATGTCTGTGAGTTTGAGGCCAGCCTGGTCTACATAGGGAGTTCCAGGACAGCCAGGGCTACACAGTGAGACCCTGTCTCAAAAAGAAAAAAAAAAAAAACAAACAAAAAAAACAAACAAAAAAACAGAGGCAGATGGATCTCTGTGAAATCAAGGCCAGCAGTCAAGGCCAGCCTGGTCTACATTGCGAGTTCCCGGTCAGCTGAGGCTACCCTGTCTCAAACAAAACAAAATGGAACCAACAAAAACAACTAAAACCAAACCAAAAAACAACCTTTTCTCTCTTCTCTCTGCCTAGTTTTCTTTAATGATAATCTTTAAAAAAAGCAATTAATAGCCAGGCGTGGTGGTGCACACCTTTAGTCTCAGCTCTTGGGAGACAGAGACAGGTGGATCTCTGGAGTTCAAGGTGAGCCTGGTTGACATATGAGAGATGGCTAAGTGGTTAAGAGCACTGACTGCTCTTGCAGAGGACCTGGGTTCAATTCCCAGCACCCACAAGGCAGCTATGAACCATCCTTAACTCTAGTCCCAGGGGAATCCGAAGCCCTCTTCTGACCTCTGAGGCATTGCATCACATGGGTGCACTCACATACATGCAGGCAATACACTCATAAAATAAAATAAAATAAAATACACATAAAATAAAATATTTTTAAAAATTACTCATTACTACTCAAAATCACCATGAGGATAGGGAAGATTATTGAAAGGTGGTATATGAGGGCTGGAAAGGCGGCTCAGCTGTTAAGAGCACTTGCCCTTCCAGAGGACCTGGGTTCTCTTCCAGCACCCACATGGTATCTCACACCATCTGTAAGTCCAGTTCCAGGGAATCTGATGCCCTTTTCTGGCCTCCACAGGCACCAGGCATGCATGTACTGTACATATATACATGTAGTTGAAACATTCATACATATAAAATAAAAATACAATCTTTAAAAACACAAAAAGGAATTATATGAAGAGAAATGAGACGCTTGAAGAAAAAACTTTGAGGCTGAAGAGATGGCTCAGCAGTTACTGAGCGTGTACTGCTCTTACAAAGGACTGGAATTCAGTTCCCAGCACCCACACAGTGCCTCGCAGCCACCTGTAACTCCAGCTCCAGGGGATCCAATGCTCTCTTCTGACCTCCAAAGGTATCCACACACAAGCAAGTACATACAGACACACATTAACTGAAAGAAAATAAATCTTTTTTAAGAAAAACTTGGTAAGTTAGTGAAGTACCCAGAAGGGAGACTAAGCAAAAATGGGCCTTTTGACTATTAATGCCCTAGTACATTCCATAAAGGGTTTGAGGGACAGGAGGAGGAAAATCAAGAGTGGTATACGGTGGCTGAGGGAAGAGCATTTGAAGGAGGGAATGGTCAGAGGATCAAGTGCTCACAGTTGAAAGAAGACAGTGACTTCAATACCCATTGAATTTGACAACTGAGAAATTGGAGATTTCAGAGGAGTAATGAGGGTTGAAATCTGATTTCAATGAATGAGTGACGGGAATTGGCTTATTAATTACTTTTGTTTTTTCTGTCTTTTTGAGACAGGGTCTCCCTATAGCCCCAGCTACCCTGGGCCAGGCTGGCCTTGAACTCACAGAGCTCCACCTGCCTCTGCCTCCCAAGTGCTGGGATTAAAGGTGTGCACCACAACACAAACCCAGCTTGAAAAGAATTTTTTGTTGTTGTTGTTCTTTTGAGACAGGGTCAGCCTGGTCTACATAGTGAGTTTCAGGACAGCTGGGGCTACAGGGAGATCCTGCTTCAAAAAGACCCCCCCCCCCAATAAAGACAGTGCCTGTCATAGAATTTAATATTTACATTAAAAAAATCAACTTCTGGCCAGGCGTGGTAGCACACGCCTTTAATCCCAGCACTTGGGAGGCAGAGGCAGGCAGATCTTTGTGAGTTTGAGGCCAGCCTGGTCTACATAGTGAATTCCAGGACAGCTGGGGCTACATGGAAACTCTGTCTCAAAAAAGACAAAAATGAAAAAAAAAAAATCAATTTCTGGGCTGAAGAAATGGCTCAACAGTTAAGAGCACTGACTGCTCTTGCAGAGAACCTAGGTTCCATTCCCAGCACCCACATGACGGCTACAAACCGTCCTTGACTCCGGTTCCAGGGGAATCTGAAGCCCTCTTCTGACCTCCGCAGCACTGCATGACACGGGTGCACTCACATACATGCAGGCAATACACTCGTACACATAAAATAAAATAATATTTTAAAAAAAGAGTACTTCCTGTTCTTTCAGAGGACCAGAGTTCAGTTCCCAGTACCCTCATGGCAGCTAACAGCCACCCATATCTAGGGGATCTGATGCCCTCTTCTGGCCTCTGAGGGCATTGCACACACAATGGTATGCTTACATATGTACACACAAACACTCCTATTTTTTTTTTAATCTACTTCTGCATGGAGGCTGCTGTTCAGTGTTAAAACCTGTATTTAGTATGTAAGAACTGCAATACCCAGCACCCCTCACACAGGAGAGAGATCAACCCCTATTACACCTACTCTAGAAAACTCTTTAAGCCTCTCAGTGCTCCTTCTTGCCCAGTTGAGTTGGGATAATCATCTCTACACCCAGAACACGCTAGACATATCTCTGATATTTCACACACACCTTGCAGTGTGCTAATTTTGGTTTACTATCTCTGCCATTACACCAAGAGATCCTTAAGGGCTATGACTGTTTCATTCATCTATCTCTCCACTGTCTAACAGAGGGTCCACTGATAAAAGGCGTTCAGTATTTGTTAAATAAACCAAGATTCTTTTTAGAATCTTTTATTTATTCCTTGTCCATTGATTTTGGTTAAGACTTTTCTATAGTTTAAAAATGTTCAGGAAGTATATTTTTATCACTAAAACATTTCATAAACACTACATTCCAAGTTAATGTGACCAGCCAGAATAGTTTCCTTAATACCCACTCAGGGCTGGAGTGACTACAGATTCTCCCAACATATTCCAATTGTGTGTTTATCCTGATTTTTTCCCCAAACTGCATTTATTCCTCATAGGCTATCCAGTGTAGTATTTTACCTAAATCTAATTTAGTTTATAGCTTAAATTTTGTGATGCACGTCCTTTATGTATCCACCCACAGTGGTTTTAGATTTTAAGTGCCAAATGGGAAGGAACACATCAAATTATTCTGTTAAATCAAAAAGTATGTATATACAAAGGCCTTTTTTGTTTATTCTGAAAGTCTTAGTTTTCAAAAACATGATATTAAAGGGCTAGAGAGATGGCTCAGTGGCTAAGAGCACTGACCGCTCTTACAGACCCACATTTCGTTCCCAACACCATATAGTGGCTAACAATCCTCTGTAACTCCAGTCTCAGGGGATCTGATGCCCTCTTCTTGTCTCTATGGGCACTGTATGCATGTGGTGCACTTATATGCATGCAGGCAAAGCACTTATACACATAAAACAAAAATACATTTTTGGGGGCCTAGTAAGCACAAGACCCTGGGTTTGGTCCTCAGCTCCAGAAAGAAAAAAGAAAATTTTTTTTTTTTTTGTCTTTTTGAGACACAGTCTCTCTGTAGCCCCAGCTGGTCTGGAATTCACTATGTAGACCAGGCTGGCCTCACTCTCATAGAGATTCACTTGACTCTACCTCAAGTGCTGGGATTAAAGGCATGAGCCACCATGCCTAGCTAAATAATTTTTTTTTTTTTTTTTTTTTTAAAAACATGATATTCAGTGCTTCTGGTGGAGACACACAGCTTGTAGGGAGCATAAGGAGTAGGAAATCTCTGTGTGTGCTCAGCAGCTGAGCTATGTGTGGGTAGGAGAAAAGAAGAGGGCTGAAGGGAGGCCTGACCTGGTGGTAGTTGGACAGGTTGCTATGCATGTCAGCAATGTCCTCGCTGGATACTTCTTTGATGACTAGAGTTCGATCATAGGAGATGAGGAAGCGACCATCGCTGCCTTCACTTTCACTTGGGGGGCTTCGGGTCAGAGACACCTGGAGACAAAGAACAGGCTAGAAAATCGTTTCCTCCCCAACTTACAAAGATACAAGGCTAATGACCAAACATACACTTCTGAAAGTGGATGAAAGCCTGGAGGAGATGGCTCAGTGAGCTAAGGTGCCTGCTACCAAGCCTGACAACCTGAGTTTAATCCCTGGGATCTACATGGTGGAAAGAGAGAATTGATTCTCACAAATTATCCTCTGACTTCTACACATGCACAGCCCCCCCTCCTATCCCCACACAAAATAAATGAAATGCAATAAATCCTGGAGTAAGACTCATCAGAGGTTCCTAATTTGGTGCCCACATATGGACTGGATGAAACTAAATGTAACATTTTTTTAAAAATATTTTAAGCCGGGCGTGGTGGCGCACGCCTTTAATCCCAGCAGAGGCAGGCGGATCTCTGTGAGTTCAAGGCCAGCCTGGTCTACATACTGAGCTCCAGGACAGCTGGGGCTACAGGGAGACCCTGTCTCAAAAAGACCAAAAAAAACATAATCTTTTATTTATTTGTATGTTTTTTAGGTGTATGAATATTTTGCCTGCATTTATGTAAGTGCACCACATGCATGCAATGCCCCTAGAGGCCAGAAGAGGGCATTAGATCCCCTGGAACTAGAGTTAAGGATGGTTCATAGCCACTATGTGGGTGCTGGGAATCAAACCCTGGTCCTCTGCAAGAGCAGTCAGTGCTCTTAACAGCTGAGCCAACTCTCCAGCCCCCTAAATGTAACATTTTTAATGTATCTACATGTTCCCCCTCAAGACAGCTTCTTAAGTTTCATTAGCTTTCACTACAGTTTTGAAGATGCCCAAGACCACAAAGATACATAGTAGTATTTACTGAAGCTTTCATTTCTCCAAAGGACAGCTTCAAAGACTCAGGTTGCCAGGGATGACCCTTAGTCCACAACAGACTCTCACCAAGTAATCCTGATCATCAATGCCAAACCGATCCCGAAGGTTCCTGAAGACCTGGGGACAATACTCTTTGAACTTGAAATGACTTGGCAGATTTTCTCTGAAATACACAGAGTTTTCAAGGTAAGAAAACAAAGTAACAGCATCGCTTTGTATTTATATGAAGTTTGACAGTTCAAAAAACATCTTTATACTATGACTTAATTTGATTTTCTCAAAACCCTGTAAAGTACTTTAAATTTTTTTTGCCCTTGGAGGGGTAGGGGACACGTGTGTATGTACACGTTATGTGTTTGTATAGTATGTGCACCCGAGTACCCGCATGTGGAAGCCAGAGGAGGTTGTCCAGCGCCTTCTTCTGCTATGTCTTACTGCCTTGAGACAGGGTCTCTTACTGAACTGGAAGCTCATCTTTTTGAGTAGGCTCACTGACCAGCAAGTTCCTAAGATCCACTTGTCTCTGCTCCTACCCCCTTAATACTGGGTTACAGACACATGCAACCATGCCCAGAGTTTTTATGAGTTCTGGGGTTTCAAACTCAGGTCTCAAATCCTTGTTGTTACCTACTGAGTCATCTCCCCAGCCCCTATTTTGTTGTTGTCTTAGTTTTTTGACACAGGGTCTTATAGAGTCCAGGGCTGGCCTTGAACTTGTTAGGTAGTTAAGACTAGCCTTGAACTCATGATCTTCCTTCCTCATTTTCTCAAGTGCTGGGATTACAGGACAGAGCTACCACACCTGGTCCCACCAAGTACTTTTTTTAGTTTTTTTCAGGACCTTACTACATAGTACTTGGCTGGCCTGGAACACACTATATAGACCAGGCTAGACTCAAATTCAAAGAGATCTGCCTGCCTCTGCCTTCAGAGTTCTGGGATTAAAGGTATATGCCACCATGCCCAGTCCCATGAAATACTCTGCTCCCATTATACAGAAAGGGAGACTGTCTCAGGGTGACCTAGTGACCTACCTAAGTTACATAGTTGGCAAGTGGTATAAAGTAGAACAAGGATTTATTGTGCATACAAACACCATTTCCTAAATCAACCCCAGCAGACATATCCTAAAATTGGTAATATTGGTTGATATTTTGAATGGCATTTTCTTATACTAGAGGAGCATCAGATGCCTCAATCATATAATTTTTTAATATTTTACTTATTATTTTATGTGTGTGTATTGCCTGCATGTATGTAAGTGTACCCATGTTGTGTGATGCCTGTGGAGAACAGAAGAAGGTATGGGATCCCCTGGAACTAGAGTTACAGACAGTTGTTAGGTGCCATGTGGGTGCTAGGATTCAAACCTGGGTGCTAGGATTCAAACCTGGGTCTCCTGTAATAGCCAGTTCTTAACCACTGAGCCATCTCTCCAATCCCTTAATCATATTTTTAAAAAAAATATTTACTTATTTCAATTTTATGCCTGAATTTTTGCCTGTATATATGTTTGTGGTGTGTATGCAGTGTCCACAGAGGCCAGAAGAGGGTGACAGAACCTCCATATAGGCACTGGGACTCAAACATGAGTCGTTTGTAAGAGCAAGTGCTCTTAACCTCGGGGCCATCTCTCCAGCCCCCCTCCCCCAATCCATACACACACCCTTTTCTGAGAGAGAGTCACACTATGCAGTACTAGTTGGTCTAGAACTCCCTTTGTAGAACAAGCTGGCTTCGGATTCACAGAGACCCACCTGCCTCTGCCTCCCAGTGCTGGAATTAAAGGTGTGTGCCACCAAGCCTGGTCTTCAATTATTTCTTTCAGGGAATCCCTACCAGAAACTAATCACAATGGCACCTGAATGCATTTACTCAATTAAATATTCAGACTAGATGCAAGCTAACATTATTGCACACACGTGTGTGTTGTGTGGTGCACATATGAGTACAGGTAACTCTGGAAATATTTAAACAGTTTCTTTGCATAAAACTGAATCTATGCCGGGCGTGGTGGTGCACACCTGTAGTCCAGCACTTGGGAGGCAGGAGGCAGGCGGATGGATCTCTGTGAGTTCAAGGCCAGCCTGGTCTACACAGTGAGTTCCAAGACAGCTGGGGCTACAGGAAGACCCTATCTCTAAAAGACCAAAAACAAAACAAAACAAAAAAACTGAATCTATGTATTAGAAAGGATGTTAGACCATACAACTTATAAATTGACTCCTATATCTAAAATCTTCACTTATTTGATGTTTTGTGGTTGTTTTTTTTTTTTTTTTTTTTTTTTTTTTTTTTAAATTTTCTCTTATTTTATTTTTTTTGGTTGTTTTTTTTTTTTTTTTTTATCTTTTTGAGACAGGGTCTCCCTTTGTAGCTCCAGCTGGCCTGGAACTCACTATGTTGACCAGGCTGGCCTCAAACTCACAGAGATCCGCCTGCCTTTGCCTCCCAAATGCTGGGACTAAAGCCCAGCCTTTATTTGATGTTTTAAAACTATTTATTGTTCTTTCTTTTTTCACATTTTTTGTGTGTATGTATGTGGGCACGTGTGTGCCGGAATGCTTTTTACGGGGGCCAGAGGACATCTTGCAGGAGTCAGTTCTCTTCATCCATATGGGTTCCAGGGATCGAACTCTTGTTGTCAGGCTCGGCAGTAAGCTCCTGTAACTGCTGAGCCATCTCACTGCCCTCTTGCTGTTCTTGTTCTAGATTCCCAAAGTGGCAAGGATCACTTACCTATGGAAAAGGTGATTGTTGACCTTGATCTTGGAGCTAGCCTTAAAGTCATCTGGCAGCAGCATCACTGGAGGAGGTACCTGGCTGAGCTCATTGATCTGATGAGCCAAAATGTAAAGAGGGAGACAATGAGTGGGGCTGGAGAGCTACTTATACACTATGTTTAGGCAAGAGTCAGGAATGACAAGCTTCGTTCCTTTAAAACCCTGGCTGTGCATACATACACAAGAAGCGAGAGAAGTACCTAGTCCGTCTGCTGCCCAAGAACTGCCGCCAGCAACTCTCACCGAGCTCCTCACACCCCACCCCCTGAAACTTCATGCTCACAACAGCCGCTTCATATTAGGCAAATCCTGTAAGCAACTCAGGACTATTTTTAAAACTGTGAGAAATTCTAGAAGAAGAAAAAAAAAAAGCAAGAAAATCTTCAAGACAGTTACATGCTTTACTGGGGGAAAGAAAAGGCGTTTTAAAGCTCATTTGAGGGGCTCAAGAGCAGCAGAATGAAATGTCCATATACTCCAAGAGCATCTCCTTACAAGGAGGACAGCCTTTCCAGATCACTCTGACCCAGTTCTCTGCAGTAGGTGCCTACCTGCCTAGGTGTAAAGTCAAGGAAGAACAGCTGATCTCAGAGGAAATGAACACTATCACAGGATAGACATTAGGTGTCTGTTCCCTAAAGTCAAGTCAGACCACAGCACAAAGGAAGCGAGCATCACATGCTCTTCTCAGCCCTCCGACCTGTGGCCCACTAATTCATGGTAGAAAGGAGGCTCCTGGGCATCAAGATTTGCTTTGTCCATATTGCAACAGCTCTGGTTACCTGCCGGTGTTAGTGCATCTGCCACCAAGTCTAATCCGCAGGTTACATTGTCTCTCCCCCAACCCCAGCTTTGAGGTCTTGAAGGGCAAGGGCCCATTCTAATCATCACCTTTCAGATGCTTAGCTAGCATAATGTCTGGCACACAGTGGTCCGAAATGTTTAACCGATAAATGAATGCCTCATCTGTTCTTACTCAATCATCTGACAAAGGTTACAGATTGCAGTCTAACCTACATTGCACATACCGCAGTGCATGCGATTCCTGTTCTCAGTAGAAAGGAGAACAGAACATATTTCTCCAGGAAAAAAAAAGAAGCCACTTGAGAGTCCCAGCCTAAAATTCAGCTGTAGCTCTTCCTGCCCCCTCCTCACCACCTGCTAAGCAGGCTGAATCATCACTAAGGCATATGTTCAAGGAATTTCTCCACTGCACACACTGGAAGTAAATGCGTGCTGGCGGGAGAGTGGAGTGTTGGAGCTCAAGTATTTTACCTAAAGAGTCTGAGGTAGGTCTTACAATTAATCCCGCCAATCCTTACCAGAGGAAAACCCAGCAAGCTTTCCCCAGGGATATGTAAGTCACCCGGAAGGTACATATCCTGAGGCAGCCCCAGTCTTGCTCAAACCAAATGTCTTGGACTAAGAAGACATTACCACTCAAGAGAGCTGCAGAAAGAGCCAACTGACCATCAGCGATAGTCTAAGCTACAAATTAAGAATGTGACATTCCTCCTCACCCCCTTGCACCTCCACAACCATGCCATGACTACAATGGCTCAAAGAAGTTGCTAACTAAAATAGTCCCTGCCAAACCCAAGATCTCTGCATCCCTCCTACTCCCCATCTGAGGAAGGAGGGCAACCACTACATTTCCATCTGTTGTGGCTCCTCTGCCATGATAGCCTCAGGAAAGGAGGTTAACTGGGCTCACTGGAGCACTTGTAAAGTTCACCAATATAGCGTTCCTGGGAGCACAGCTCCTCAGTCTCCTCCTTGGTCGCTTACACCAAATACCATCACTGCAGCCAACACTGGGGATGCAGTTAAAACCAAAGGCATGAATGCATTAAGTCCGTTGTGAATAGACTCAGCATTGAGTAGCTTTTCTGAAAGGGGGCAAGCAGGACTGGAAGCCTGGAGCTTCCCCAGACAAACCCAAGGCCGCAAAGTCAAGGTCTGGGGCTAGAAAGCAAGAAGAAGAGGAAAGTGAATTACCTCCTCCATCCACAACGCGCTTCACGCATTCTCTCACCCAGACCACAGCAACAACCCGGAGAAGCCACTCCCCTTAATGTCCCTCAGGCTGGAGCCAGATTCCAGCCAGACTCCCTAGCCTGGGGCTGAGGCTGAACCCGGCTGGAAGCAGTGAAGGAGCACGGAGCTGGACTGGCAGAGAAGGTGGCACTCCAGCAGGGCAGCGGACAGTCACCCTGAGGGTCACCTGGGGGCTAAGGAGCAGGGACCCAAGCGTGGGGGATGGAAGGGATGCCGGAGCTTGAAGCCTGCAGCTTCGGAGGACTGCGAACCGCGCAGCCCCTGCTTACCGAGTGGGATACGCCCCACAGGAACACGCCTACCAGCGGGTCGGCAGCCCGGAACACCTTCACCTTCTGCTGCACGAAATGCTTCTTCTTGGTTTTGGAGGCGAAGCCGAAGCCTGGGCCGGGGCCCCCAGTGGACGCGGGTGCGGTGGCCGGCGGGACCGAAGAGGATGCCATAGTCCCCCGCACACCCGATCGAGTGGAAGCGGGACCGTCCGCGATTCTGGAGCCCGACCCGGAAGCGCTGCACACCTGCGCAGCCGTCATGTGACCGGAGGCCGGGATGCGCAGGCGGGAGGGGCCGGGCGGAGGGAGGTGGCTCCGCCCCCTGCGCGGCGCGGTGGTTGGGCTCACCTGGCGGTGTCGCTGCTGCGGACGGCGGTTTCCCTACGTCCCGCATCTTGTGCGGGGACCCCACTGGGTCTTCGCCTTCTGGTTTTGTTCAGTTTCTAATGAGTAACCACTGGTCCCAGACTAAGGCCGAGGTGTTTTGTTTGGCTTTGATATTTGTTTGCTTTCGGTTTTGGGGTGTTTTTGTGTGTTTTTTTTTTGAGACAGGGTCTCCCTGTAGCCCCAGCTGGACTGGAATTCACTACGTAGACCAGGCTGGCCTGAGCTAATCCCCTGCTTCTGCCTCCAAGTGCTGGGATTAAAGGCCTATGTCATCACGCCCGGTGCATTTTGCAATTTTTTGTAACCTAAGCTGGCTTCAAACTTTGAATCCCCCTGCGTTATCCTCCCAAGTGCTGGTATTACAGAGGTGTTCCGTGTTCCACCACGAAGTTGCAGAAGAGTTGGCCTGGGAAATCTGAAAATTTTATTCATAGCCCCATGAGTAAATTCATTAATTCACCCATTCAACAAGTATTATTGAGCACTTACTTGTACCCATTGATTTTCTTTAGCTGATTTTCCTCTGGTTGAAGCAGAGGATAATTCTAAGTCTAAAGGCACCAGCTAGCCAAGGAGAAGGTTACAGTATTGGAGGTAAGGGGCTCAAGAGATGGGTCAGTGGTTAAGAGCATTGGTTACTCTTGTAGAAGACCAGGATTTGAGCCCGAGCACTCACATGGCAGCTAATAACTGAAACTCCAGTTACAGGGGATCCTATGCCCTCGACCTCCAAGGGTGATGGTGCTAGGGGTTGGGATTTAGCTCAGTGGTAGAGCCCTTGCCTAGCAAGTGCAAGGCCCTGGGTTTGGGCCTCAGCTGGGGGAGGGGGGATGGTGATAAGCACATAGTCCTCCTGGATTTGGGGAGGACTAAAGTATATAATCTGGGGAAGGCTAGGAAGAGAAGGCTTGATCCATGCTGAGTAAAGGCTTTCCAGTGTGTATACCCTCAGGTCACTCATACACCTTAGTAAGCCCTCAGCTGGCTCTGTAAGTAAACTCAGTAAATTCATTGGTTCTCTAGGAAAACTTTAATCAAAGATTGTTTTGACACTACAACCTTAGAAGGGGATAAACATTGCTTAGTATCCCCAGGAAAAGAATTCTCACAACAGATGGAAAACTTGTTACTGTTAAAAGGCTATGGGAATGGAGATATTTTCCAAAATAGAAAAAAAATGAGAAAGCCTAAGCAAGTGATGAAGGTCTGTATAAGTTTGTTATGATATATAAAAGATGAGACAAAAATAATATACACATAATCTTAAAATTTCTAAGGTCATAGTTTAGTCAACTAGTTTAAGGAACAAAATATACATCTAGTCAAGGTTTAGCTGAGACCATTTGGTTTTCTCCCAAGCTTTATCTACATAGCACATGGTAATTAAAAGTACCAGACTGGTGAAACTAACCTTGGATGTTTTAACAGCCATACTTTGAGGCCTATAAATAATCTGGTCAGAGGGACTTAAAGGACAGTTTTTGCCCCTTTCCCTCCAAGTAGTCTGTTGAGGGACTCTTAGGTTGCTTCCTGTAACTGTGGTGAGTCACCTGTCCTCTTGTTCAGGGAGGCCGTGGAGACCCCACAAGATGGACTTGAACCAGTGTCCAGTCTACAAAGAGGAGGGTCAACACAGGGGGAACAGTTCCTCCATGCTTCCAAGTGAAGCCAGCCATGGTCAAGTAGGACCTTTGATTTTCACCTAGGCAGAACTGGTAAAAGAAAGGAGCCAGGGGCTCTTCCCAAGCCTAAGTGACCCTTGAGGAACAGATCATCAAACAACCTTAAGAGTAAAAATAAATTGGTTTATTTGGGCCAACTATATGGTCTTAAGCACCCAAAAGGAAAGTATAACCAAAGAGTAAAGTGACCAGTGTATTTCCTTAAGAGTGCAAGGTATTACACTTCCCAGACATTAGACTTGAGTCCATATACAATGATATTTAGACAATTATTTCTCATTGATGATTTTGTTTCTAATCACAAAGTGCTGCTCAGATGTAAAACTTCAAATCTTGGTCTGCAATACTGAAGTGCCCACCTGTAGCTAAGGGAGATAACCTACTATTGTTCTAAAACGATGGCTAAATTTGTTTTCTCCCCCTATCTAGAAGCCTTTGAGAGGGAACTAACACTGATTCTAGCCATTCCAACAGCTATCAAAGTGCCTGAAAACAAATCCTGAATCCATCACTCTCAAGTCCAGCTTTGACAGACAAAAGGAAAATGAGGAGGAACCCATTGGAGGGATGCTTTTGGAAGCTTTTGTCAAGAAATTCCAATGGACTCTGATATGAAATTTTGAAATTTGCCCTGTTTTGACTTTTTTCTGGTTCCCTGTCTAGAACTTGTAATGCTAACTACTGTTGCCTTTACTTCTCCTTCACATCTCCTAGTCACCAGTCAAGGACTTGCTTTTCTCCCTACAGTTAAGAGTTATACAATCTGGGAGTCTTTTAAATAGACCCACTGAAGGGGAACCCCAATTGCCTAGCCCTGTTCAGGGATGGTGTGATAAGAATAGGAGGTAGGAGTTGGCTAGGCAGTTAGGGGTAAAAAGACCCCAAAGAAAAGTAGCCAGCTTCTTGGCTAAAAATCAAAATGTCCTCTGGCCTCTTAGTAACATACTCTGTTCCAAAGGCCCAAAATGTCAAAGTATTTGGGAGCTCTTATCTAAAAGATTTTAAGGTTACTTTCCTTTAGAGGGGGGAATGTTAGAGTAGCAAAAATCTCAATTAAAAAAAAGAAAGAGGGCCGGGCATGGTGGTGCACGCCTTTGGTCCCAGCACTTGGGAGGCAGAGGCAGGCAGATATTTGTGAGTTCCAGGCCAGCCTGGTCTACATAGTGAGTTCAGGTCAGCTGGGACTACAGGGAGACCCTGTCTCAAAAAGACA